TGGGCCGATGGGTTTTTGGGGGTTTCCCCCAAATTTTAAAAATTTAAAAAAAAAAAAAAAAAAAAAAAAAAAAAAAAAAAAACGAGAGGAAACTGTGGATAAAACAGTTAAAAAACAAGAAAGGTCATGTTGTCACCAGTTTGGCAGTATCTCCGATACTTAAAACAAAAAAACTAAGCAATAGTTATTAATATCGGCTGATATGAGTCACTTTGGCTATTTTCATACTGCAACCTGAAACGACCCAATTCTGATTTTTTTTTTGTTGACCTGCATCTGATCTTTTTATGACAGTCTGAACAACACAGATCAGATTTTCTTCAATGCAAGAAAATTCGCATTCTGATTTTCTCCACTTTGTATTTCATAAATCTATAGGTTTTTTTTATTATTTATTTTAAGGCTTATTTAACTGTAACTATATATTTGCATGTTCTTTTACTTCCCCCAAAACAACACATTTTCAGAAGCAAAATATGTTTTTCATATTTCCAAGCAGCTGGTAGTTTCAAGTAGCACCTTGTAAGAAAATCATGTTACCTCACTGAAACTTAAAGAGATTACCATGTCTCCTTATGTTGCAACTGTGTAGCTAAGCTTCATTGTGTGATTTAAACGTGTACTAAAGAGACCAAAAAAAATAAAACAAGATGAAAGAAATTGCAAACAGGTTCAAAGTTTCTGAAGCTTGAATTACTAAAAGACACAATGTGCTTAGTGCCACCACAGAAACAGGAAAGTTTTACTCTTGCTTTGCTGTTTGCTCGTATTTAGCAAATGCTTTTATAATGTCCACCAAGAAGGATGTAGTTAATTAACCAACTCAATTAAATGAGGAAGAAATGTATTCATTTGAACATGAAATGATCTCAGCAGAACAGTCCAAGTTTGATATTCAAAATGTTTTTCCAACATTCACCTATTCAACTCAGTGGTTTTGATTCTTACCTGTTTTGCAATGGATGTTTGATATACTGCTCAGGATTTGCAACAACCTGACCATCAGCCTGTTGATCTTCAGTTTCAGCTGCTTTCTAAAGAGATAAACACACAAACACATCATATAGCTGCAGAGGAAACAGAATACATGAATCTGAATGAATCCTAGTTTTGCACGCACTGCAGACGAGAAAGGCACCAACATATTTTTTAATCAGAGCGACAAAAAATGAGTAATATTTACTAACGCAATTTCAATAACAATTTAGTCTTTAAATCCTGAAAACTTAATCAGTCACCCAGTTTAGACGTCCAACACGAAACAGTGAGATGACTAAGCAAGCTTCTCAAAGCACGGCCCTGAACTTGGCTTCTGATTCTCTGTTGTACAAGAGTATTTCTTAACCATAATCAGATTGTGTAAAATCTGAATTTCACTTTCACATCGTCCTTCACATAGAATAGAAAACCCTCGGAGGGCCGAGACAAGCTATAAGGATACAAATAAAGACAAGGCCCCCACTCCCCCCCACCAATTAAATAATTCATTCCAGATGAATGACTAACCCACTCGCTGCGTTCAACAAAATGGGGGTTTGTGAATCCAAATCAGCACAGACTGAGCTGCCAGTGCATCCACTGCATTTACATGATTTGATCACCATCTGCATTCCATCTCTTCTTTTGGAGATTTGATGTTGTTCTCCCCATCGTCACTGCCAAACCTCAAGATCAAGAGACTCATCACGTGATTTGAAACGTGGTTCTGAACGTTCAACGGTTCCACAGATTTCACGCGACCAAGCGCCCAAGATATTGCAAAACAGAACAGACAGGCTGTGTCGATGTTAATTTTGCCATATTAAAAAAGGAGGGATAAAAGGTAACGCAGACATAAAAGTTTGTTTACTTCTATGCCTGTAGGAAGCTACGGTAAGAGGTTGACAAACTTTTATTCTCATGACTTCAATGTCTTAAGACATCACGTGTACTAGTAAAATTGAAAAAGAAGATTAGTTATATGAGAGAAACAGTGAAAACCGGCTACCTTTTACCAGGGCGCCTACATTCAAAATTAGAAAGATAGATTAGATGGTGGATGTTAACTTTAAGTAAACATCTACATCTCATTTCTTCAGCACCACAGACAGCACCATGGACATGTCCACTTGACACGTCAGAGCCAAGGCTGAAACCATGGACATGTATTAGCATAAACTCCAGTTAAAAAGAAATGTCAATGATAAACTCAGAAACACACTCTGACTGCTGCTGGGGGGACGTAGAGAGATAATAGGAGAACAGACATTTTGATTATATTTTAAACTCATCAGTTAAATAATTTTTTAAAAGCAGAAACTCGAGACACTTGCAAGGTTTTAATATCTGCATTATGGAAGACTTCTGCCTTTCATAGGCCCTACACTGACAATATTATAACATATTCCAAGCTGTGTTTTTGAAGGACACATTTGAACGTGAGTCACCAAATTAACATTTATAACACCCACAGACCAAACAAATTCAATAAATCTCGTAATAAGTGCCAGAAAAAAGATAAAACCTTAGCTCACTTCACAACTAAGGGTTGCTAGCATTAGTTTTAGCAGGCGTGCTAGGCTAGTTAGAAGCTCGATACACACGTGTTTTTAGCGTCATAAACTGCATCAATAAATTAGAGGGGGCAAAATAAAAATGTTCCTGGCATGACCACCACCGTACTTTGGGTCTAATGTCGAGTAACACCAAAGCAAACCACTGCGTGAAGTATGAATGAACGACGCTCAGTCAATCAGTCCCTCCCTGCCGACAAAGTCAGGCACATTGCACTGCATGCTAACGCTAATCCACGCCGATATTGTTAATGCGAAACACCGTCAATTACCCTAAATACAAGCGTCACGTTCAACGTGGAAACTTTGGAAATTAAATCTAACAGATCAAGCGGGGACTCAACGAGCCTCTCCGCGCGCATCAGTCGGTTATTTTCATCTGTGTCTCGTCTCTCTTACCGGCTCCGATGTCGCCATCTTGACTTGTAGAAACGATCTGCCCGTGAGACGCTTCAATCCGCTCTACGGAAGCCGCACCGCTCCAGTTTGACTTGAGTGACCGAACGAAAGGATATAATCAAGCTCCGCGTAATTTTATTTAATAATAATAATAATAATAATAATAATAATAATAATAATAATAATAATAATATACAGTATTCCTTGGGGGTAACGACTTAGGTGAGCCAAAAGACTATTAGATTAGTGATAGTGAAAAATAAGTGAATAAGTGAGAAAGTATATAATACTTAGTGACAAAAAAGTCTCTCCATAGTGTTATGAACACAAACTTTAATTTAATTCTGCCGATACGCAAACCTAAAATACAACATTATCTTTTTCACAACTTTGAAACAAAAATGTGACTTCATGACATACAATCTGGTAAATATAACTTGAAATGTAAAAATAAATTAGTTGCTATTTCAGTTACTACCATCGATCACAAATCTACAATAGATGCCACAATCTGAAACCTCTCTTACCTTGTGTATAGGTAGTTTTATGTCGTGGATCTGTCTGTACTTGACTAAAAGCTTATTGACTGTAATGCCAAACTACTTTGAACCAGATGAACTTGGAGCCTGGTGCCTAGAGCTCAGTTCCCTCCTTGGTTATTAACCTTAAGAGGCAGCTTTGTCACATGTGATTTAGTAAATTATCATACTTTCCACCAGGACTAAAGTTGACAAAAAGTCACGAGGGACTGTCATTATACACGTGATAAAACATTTTGTGTATATCACCTGACTTATAATCCTTCCTAAATGCCAGCTGTAGTGCTTACAATTGAAAACAATGTAATTGGTAAGTATATTGCTTATCTCAAGAAAGGACTGGTCATTTGTTCATTTTTTAGAATCCATTAGAAAAATTAAATGATCCTGCTCCAGTGTATGTAAGAGAACTTTTAGAAATCTAAGTCTGAGACCATCTGTTGGTTTCATCTTAAGATCAGAGGAGACAGATTTAGTAAAATATTGTTCCCAGGCTGACATAACCACTGATGGGAACACTTTGCATCCCCATTGTCATGGCATGATTCAGTTGAATCTTTCAAAAGATGCAGGGGTAGCAATGACCACCCCCTAAATTTTCTGGATTATTTATCCTTTTTGTGATTGCTTCACACCATGAAGCAGTGTGTTGTGACGTTGCCTTATGCTACGTCTGCAAATGTGCATCCCTGCAATATGTATTAAATCAACTTGAAGCCTATGGCTTCATGTGAACTTTAGACAATGACCGTGTCTGTAACTTAGCAAATAAAAATTTATTTTTTTCGTCCTAATTGGATAGATGACTAAATATCAAAAATAAACAGCATGTAAAGTTGTGGTTAAAACTGTATTTCAACACACTAGAACTTATCAGTGAGCCATGTGTTGTCAAAGCTAGAGTGAAAAACTGAAACAAAAACAACAAAAACGAATCATGATGAGGTCCAAAATATAAATATGACTTTATTTAACAATCCTGAAAGAGATCAGCCATCCGTAAAAGGAATGCTAAATTTAGTCTCTTCTCAAGTCTAAACTGGATATACTTTTAGCAACATACAGTAATTCAGTTTTAAAATAAGCAAGATCACCCATTATCTAAAACACCTTTAACAGTACAGTAAAAACAATGTGGTTCACATACATATTTACAGTCTGTCTAAATGCTGGTGCTCGTTACAAAAATGTTTCATGTGGACAGAAAATGTCCGTTCAAAAGAAATAATAATTAAAAAAAATTACAATTTTCATTTTATTGTGTGATGTTTAAAATTCAGTGGATTCCAAACAGTTTTACATTCATTTGTTTATTTATTTTTTGCATGTAGGTTCAGATTTTTTTAAGAGCTGCTGGAGAAATCTTTAAAATGTGGAAGACATTTAAACTGTAAATGAAAAACTGCACCAGTATGCACCTTCAACTTGCACTTGAAAAACATATTAATGCTTTCGTTTGTTGTCCCCCGTCTACCAATGTTTGACAAAGGAAATGATACAGACAATGTCTGAACACATTCGACAAAGACGGGTTCTAGAAAAAGCACCGTTATACAGTTTAGAACCAGTTTAAGTCTTTGACATCTTTTCTTTTAGCACCAAAACCGAGTTTAAGCAGGCGACCAAATGTTTCAGATAAAGATGTAATGCCATCTGTCTTAGTGTGAATATGAGTGAAGGGTTGTGCTAAAGTTGCAATCATCCTAGTTCCTAAAAATAAAGAGCTTCTCTTTAATGGGTACAAAAAAATTCCCAGGAGCTACTCCCAGCCCCTTTACTGAGACCCTGTAAAAAGATATATGTAAACAAAGGTCTTCACAAGAGCTGGGCACTTGAAAAAAACATCTTAAGCAATTGTTTGAGTGCGACATGGTGTTCAAGTGGTTTTACAACAACAGGGTGTTGTGTTGACATCTGACACATTTGTAGCTTCTTGTAAGATAGCACCATTAAAATATACAGTTAGATTCTGAAGTCCTATAATCACACTTGTTCCCTATGAAAGACGCCTCTTCCAAGAGTGGAATACCAGAGCCGGCCCAAGGCATGAGCAATCGAAGATATGAGAGCAATTGATACAAAACAGAAATACAATGCAGCCGTCCATTTTCACTGCCTTAAGCATTTTATAGTAACAATCTGAAGGGTTAGCGCAGTTCTTAGCGAGTGAGGGCGAGTTAATCTCTTTTCAAAGATTCTGATCTTTTGGGTCAGCTCCCTCACTGCTCCTAAATATGTCTCCACCAAGTATAACTTAGAGTCTTCTGTCTTGGTCTCATTTGTGTAATTATGAATATTTTGCCAAAAGTAAGGCCAACCTCTCACTGATAAACTTAGCAAACCTCACAATCGGTCAATCGAGATTGTTACATTGTCTGTTTAAATTATTTTTTCTCTTCTTACAGTAGGATCTGTAAGAGCAACAGTAACTGCTGCACGTGTCAAAATATGACTCAATCCAATGTTGTGCACTGTTTAACAGCTCAAATGCTCTAATTAATATAACTGTTGTGGTGAAGCGGGCTTTTTGGTAGTGGTTAAATTGTACTTTCAGAGAAGGATTTGTTCGGATTCGATCTGCATGCAATTCAAGAAGTATTATTAATAACACAGTGATACATTTTCTTAAAACGTTTTGTCGTCACCAAAATAAATGCAACAAAATACTGTGATAAAATATTACATCCACATCACCAATCAAGCTAAAACTGATCTAATTTCATTGACCAGCTAACTTCTGCGTCCATATTTAATTGTAGCTCTAGATATTTTATTTTTAAAATAAAAGTGAAGAAATACAAGAAAATAATCTATGTAAAGAGATAAGCTATACAAAAGTGGTCAACCACATTTAATGTAGTGTGAGAATGAAATCTAGCAAACTTACTGAAATTCTTGATAAGCTAACATTAGTTAAAATGTTAGCTCAACCTGCTGCTATAAAGGATGCACATTCATTGGCCAGCAGCTAGGTTTTAGCTAACATGCTAATATCGCTAGCTAACAATAGTAACAAAGGAAGATTAGCGGAGCTGTGGTGACAGCTACAAGGGTCCCCACATCTAACTAACTCTGTTCAGGACCTCACACAGCCTTGGACCGGCTCTGGTGTAACTGAGAACCTACTCCCGATAGTTTCTCATGATTCATTACTTTGGTGAGAACAGAATTTCATTAAATATATGTGTACTCAAACTGAATAAAAAGCTAATTATTGCAGAAATACTGTAAAACAAAACATGGTTAATTTTTAACTGTCAAATTTACTGTATAGTATCTCTGTCAGCACACACAATTCAGGCTTATGCCCTGTTTTTCAAGTTAAGGGAAAGTGCTTTTTAATATGCCATTTATAGCTGTGAATTAAAGAAATAAAATATTTCAATGAAGAAAAAAGTGATTTTTTTTTAAAACCACCAACAGAAGACTGAGGCAGTGAAAGGAAAACGCATAATGCTACATGTGACAATCTGTAGTAAATAAAATTATGTGAAGTAACAAAATTGCTAAACCAAGGTTACAGTGAGAATGGCACCAAAGTACCCTCCTACTGTACAATATAAAGCAGGGTATCATAGACATCTTGCAGTAAACAGGCTTATATCAGAAATTAAATAGAAATTGTTATGATCAGAATAAATAATCACATCTATTTTTGTTCTAAATCATGTGTATAAAACCAGTTTAAAAACATCTTGCTTCAAAGCACCATCTCTTTACATTAAAAACCAGCACCGAAACTCACAGTTGAAAAGCCAACAAACTTTGATCCTTCCCATCACCAAAGATGGCAGACTCTAAGAAGGACAAAGTTAGCAGACAATAGAAAAGTACAATAAAAACAAAAAAACAAAAAAACGACACGATGACGATGAGAGTAGCCGATTGAAGGTGAATGAGGTAAGGCAGAACCACGGTGTAGGAGTTTCAAGTGAGTCTGTTGAAACATGCCGACTAAGACCAGCGATTGTAAGGGCCCGTCACATGTGTAAGTGCATAAGGAGACACGGTGATGACGCCGCCTGTCGGCGCAGTGAAAGCCTGCCGTGTTGGGACATTCATTACCCTTCTTGCCTCCGCTGTCTCTTTATCCTCGTCTTCCTCTCCCTCCCCGCCCCCTGATGTTTTTCTGTTCTTCCCCGCATCGCCGCTTCCCTCCATCCTCAGTCTCTCCGCCTCCTCCTCCCGCTCCCGCTCCCGCTTGGCCATCTTGGCGTCCCACATCGCCATCCCGTGGCCTGGCTCGTTCAGGGCTTTGTGCTGGTAGAAGACCAAGGAGATGCGAGTTGGGTGGCGGCGGTTCGGCTTGAGGATGGGGGTGGTGGCGTGGAGCTCGCGGCGCGCGCACTCAATCAGGATTGAGCCGTGTGACGGCGCCACAGCAACGCCGCCAATGTCCTCGTCCAGGAAGTTGTGCTCGCTGTCGGACCACACCTCTTCCTGCTTTGCCTGTTGCGGTTCTTCGAGCGGCGGGGCTTGTAAGGGGAGAGACTGGCCTGGAGGGAAGTCGTGACCCCTGACCTCTCCTGCAACATCTTCTGCAGCCCGAAGAAGTCCATTGAGCCTGCCGAAGAGGCCCTCAGAGGTAGGTCTGGCAGAGAAAGAGGAGGGGGACAGTCTGTGCAGAGCGGAGCAGTGCATCTCGCTGGGCTCAGCTTTAAAGGGAAAGTCGTTGTTGAGGTTCTGTGGAGGTATACGTTCTAGTAAAGCACCCTGCTCACCAGAAGCTGGAGTTAAACCACTCATAGTGGCACCAGCAGTATGGTAGCCGACAGCTACGCCGTTATGCTTAAACTGAAGGTTTGATACGCTGTGGTGGCTGGAGGGGAGGACCTCCCGCTGCGAAGCGATCCCCGCCCCCGGAGAAGAGCAGCTGCTGACGCTGTGGCTGTAAGCAGCGGCTTGATTTCTCTCCGGTGTGGCTCTGCCAACACTGGTGGGTCTCGGTGGTACTCCATAAGCGCTGTAGAAGCCTTGAGGCTCTTTTTGGGGAAAACAGACGGCATGTGTTTTCATTGTAATTTTCTTACAAAAGCAAAAACGTTCGGATGATTAGATGTGCCGTACTACCTTTATTGGGGGTTTCAGATTTGACTTTCCCAGGAGTGAGAGATGACATGCCGAGCTTCTTCTCCATCTTCTCTGCCTGCGCCTTCAGACGAGCTTCCTGTCTTATCTTACGAGCAGATTTCACAGGCTCAGCCAGCAGGCGCACCTGAAAACAAATGGACCCAATAAATACAAAAAAACTAAACAAAACAAAAAACATTTAAACATAATTTTTCACAGTCAATTAAAAAAAATTTGCCCCTGAATCTAAGTTGGATTTATTATGAGTTATGAAAATTAACTGGAACGCCAATCCCAAAGTCAGACTTCTCATTCTGAAAGTCATAGAAGTTTTCAGAAGTCTCGCAACAACAATACTAAGCTGTAGTGTAAAACATGTAAGAGTGTATCTGAAGCCAGTGTTGCACATAGCGCCTTCAGCTCTAAACTGAATGAATTAAAAGTGATGCTTACATGTGGAATGTGCAGCGTAAAACAATTTTAATTTGCAAAAAGGGAAAACCATGTATCATTTCCCTACTACTCCACAATTATCTGCAACTTTATGTTGTTCTGTTACATGGACTCCTCAAAAATATACAACATTTGCATGGGATAAAAATTGCAACAGGATATAAAAAGATTTAAGGGGTTAAAGTACGACTGGAACCAAACATGGACCGTTGACCGTTCTGCTTCTACGCACCACAAATCTGGATCAAGTTTCCAGAAAACTGCAAAAGAGCTGAAACACTGAGTTCCTACTAAAAACCCACCTGTTTAGAATTGTTTTTGAATAATAATAAATGAAACATTGACCAATATATTTGATGTGTATTGATGATTTCGATAATGGCATTCATCAAAATGTAACGTGTGTTATTGGTCTTCTCAGTTGTTGACTGTATGGCGTCTTTTATGACTTTGTATATTTGTGTTTTTATGATGTAAAGCACTTTGAACTGCCTTGTTGCTGAAATATGCTATACAAATGAACTTTTTCTCCCCCTAAACATTTGAGCAGAGCTTAACTGACCACTTACCTCTCTGGGGAAGGAGGAGAGAACATGCAAAGCTCCACTCCGGATCTTGGCCCACTGGCCTTCAACCTGACCAAACTCGTCTTTGTCAGAGATCTTGTACAGTGGGAGCACATGAAGCTGTTCATCCTCAGGTATATTCCGCACCGCACGGTTATCTTCCTTTGTTAAAGTGCAAACCTGAAAAAGCACACCAGGCAGAGGTCAAGAGTTTCATTTCTTTCTGAAAAATATGACACTGGTTGACTTCTTCTAAGGCGTGAAATGATTGGTGTCAACTTGAATTACAGGACACCAGCTATTGTAAAAAAAGCGAGCCCTTTTTTTTCCTTGTAATTTTTGAAAAAATACAGACCAGTGACACAATGAAAACTGGTTGTGATCCACCTATATAAAAGTACATTCATGTTTTTTAATTCCTCAAACAAGATTCAAATCTAGATCCATTTGTGAATCAGAGGCAATATTTACAGACATTCCCTTCCTGATATGGTTGAGATTTGAGAAGAAGAATTAGCAAATATTTCAGTCTCCACATGTCCAAAGCTGATGGAGACATTAGCCAAAAAAAAAAAAAAAAAAAAAACTTGCTATCTATAGCTGCTTCAAGGAAGTAGTGATTCAGGGGCACTTGAAAAAAAAAAGAATCCATGCCTCCCTTTTCAGATTTTTATTTGTTGAGAAAAACTGGAACCATGAGTCAGTCCCCTTCCACTTTACAGATACGCAGTAGTTCACGTTGATCTATTACAAAAAATGACCAACATAACACAATAAAGTTTGTGGTTTGAATTAGTCAAAAATTGAAAAAGTCCAAGAGATGCTAATACTTTTGTAAAGCACAGCCAGCATTGCCTAAGAGTAACCAGCAGTTCTGACTGAGCGCTTACCACGGTGCTGCCGTTGTTCATGTTGCTGGTGTCTTTGTGAGCGTGAGCGCAGAAATCTACGCAAGCTGTGACCCCTGAAAAAGGACGACCCTCCATCCTGCCCAGCCGGCAAGCGTCCCCTGCAGCCTCGCACTCCACCTGTGAAAGGCAGGAGGAAAATAAGACACTCGAAAAGTGCTATCGGAAAAAAAACTGGGGCAAATTACAAGGCTGCATGTAAACATTCTCTAGTCCACTGATGATGGTCCAGAAGACATTGAATGAATAAATAAAAGTAACAGAGTCAGCAAAAGTTTCAAAGCGACCCCAATTGTAGCTATTATTCTGCAGTTTCAATGTTTCATACCTGGTTCTGGAATGCCACTGGAGCCAGCTTTTTGTAGAGTGGAGCGAGATCAGTGGCCAAACTCTGAAGGTTGCTCTCAATCTTCGCCTCCTAAAAATAACAAATTTAGGATTTGTTTCTTTGGTTGCTGAAAAATGACTTGTTTGATGCTTTCTTTTTATGTCTTCTAATGTAATACTCAACGCTGGCCACTAGGGGGCAAAATGCTGGAATACATTTATGTACATTTATAGCAAATTAAAGAGTGAAGTGCATTTGATTATACAAACAAACATACACCGATGACACAGACAACACATTATGACAACAAACAGTGGAGTGACGGTTTCTAGCAGTATTTTAGGAGCTATAATCGACTGAAAAACTGATGAAAACATCCTCTAACCTCCTCTCGGAGGTCTCCAAGCAGACGAAACTTGCGGGGCACTTTGCTGCGGGCAAACTTGCAGCCATTGAAGTACATGCTCCAGGAACAGCCAAAGGAGAACGAGGCTCCGCAGGTGTCAGGGTTCAAACCCTGGCATGCACACGTTCGACTGCAGGGACAGAAAGGCTCGATCAGAGACGGAAAAGAAATGGTCGGGATGAAACAGCTCAACAGGAAAATAGCGGGTAAAAAGAAAAAGCAACACACTCTTCGTTGAGGGCACAACGGCGACTGGTGGGGGAGCCGTATTTAAAGAGAGTCTCTGTGAGGTCTTGGTAAAGGTGGTCCGCCACCGTTCGAGGGATTCCCTCCCACGCCAGGATGAGGATCACCAACACAGCCGTGTCGCAGTAGTGGCCCGGTCTTTGTCGGACCAAGCACAGCAACTTCTCCTCTTCGCTCCCACGTCGGATCACCTGGTGGGTGGATCGGGATGTGACAAGTCAGATGGCGAGCAGAGACCGCACACACACACAAAATCACGGTTCAGAAGGAAGAAGCCGTTTTCCTTAAACACACAACTGGCGTCAACATGTAATCAAGGTGAGAAAATGATGGGATTATGAGCTTCACAGCAATCACACACCCATTTAGCTATGGGACACCCCTGGGAGCTCTTGCCCTCTTTCCCAGTGTAAACAACAACTTCCACCCTCACTGCGTTTCCTTTGGCACCATACCTGTGAGCAGAAAAACAAACATGTCATCCTCTGCATGTAACGCAATAACCCAGTATAATCCTGTAATCCATATCCAGATGTCACTAAATTTAAATATTTTTTTTCATAAACATAATTTCTAGAGCTTTTCCCTTTTTTTCCCCAATTCTAGATATTTCTGACAAAATAAGATTTATCTAAAGTCTTTCTATCCAGAGGCTCCACGATGCTAAAGTTGGCTTCTAATTCGGAAGTGTAGTAAATGAATATTTCACAGTTTTCTTGGTATCTGGAACAACTGAGATCAGCTCTGTCTCTATTTCTGTTAATCAATAACATTTGAAATCAGATTTAAATTATTCAACACTAATTCCAGACTTTTGAAGTACAGTTGCTGGCTGTTTATTTGTAGGAGTCTGTAAAGAATATTTGTTTCAAACTCTTTTTTTTGGCATTGAAAACAAACAATTTATGAACCACATATCTCTGTCTAAAATCTAGTTAACAACTAAGATTTTAAGCAATTTAGAGGCCAAGAAAGGCAGTGACATGTGCCTATTTTTTTTTTTTTAATTTTTGAATGAGTATTAATTGGTCAAGCTTTCAAAATAAAAATGCTGCTGTATTATTGGTCTGACGTGGCAAATCAAAGAAAATAAACACAACTTTATAATTGCAAAAAACACTGTATTTTTAAGAAGGTTCAATGTTTATCTTTTTGAAAATAGGATATGGAATAATATTTAATATGCTTTGACTGAAGTCAATAGCTTAAACGTAATGATCATAACCATTATTATGATCATTAGTAGTAGTAATATTGGTAATATAATATCCCAATATTAACAAATTTAAAATCTGCCCTTTATTAGTCAGAAAGTTAGTTGGCAGACAAAACCCACAATCCACGCTTGTAATTTTAGTGCTAACAGTAACCTCACTTAGCATAATGCAAATAGGCAACTACTTGCAGAGAAGAAGTCATGTTATTTCCTTTTTGAAGTAAGGAAAATAAGACATCATAAAACAAGACAGAAACCCTTTTTTGTGCAGTTAAAAAAAAATAAAAAATCCAAAAACCAGCAACATTTAACGCTCAGTGCTCCTGAGAGGTAAATATATCATCTGAGTCTTTAACACCAGAGATAACTGATTTGGTTTTAATGGTAATTTCATTTTAATACAGTAAAACCAACTAAGAAATGTAATTACGGTTATATTAAACCTTTTCATTCCTAGCACCTGGCTTCGCATAGTTTCTATTTGTCGCCACAGTAGGTCTCGTCTGGGGGTCAGACCACATTAACCACACTTCATTAAACTGATACTTCTTACATTAGTTTACACATCCTCTCCCTGCATCCTGACTCTATCGGCTACTATAAATTCTCTCAACATTGTAATTATTTATTATTGTTCCAGTAAGAACGTGCTGTAACTTGGACAGTGATGGAGCCAAGGACCTTTGAAACAAGCTGTCACCTAAGCTTATGGCCCCCTGGTCTCAGCTTTACGGTTTCTTGTTTCAGCACGCTGTGTGTTTCTGTGTTTTTGTGCACATGTGTTGTAGCGTGACACTTAGAGCGAGTGTTAAAATACCTTAACCAAACTTCCTTCTTATTCAGAGTAGTTGTAACATAGCTGTTTACTTCTTGTGACCGGGAGGTTCTCAAAGTTTCGGTAAAGCAATTCAATGTACCTGTTTTCCATCATTTCCCTTACGGCGGCAACGTTGGGTCCTGCCCCAAGGTGAGTGTAGTAAGGGCCTTCCTCCTTTTCAATAACTTGGTCTGTGGAAAAAACAGACACCTTATGGCTAAAGACACGAATTCAGCATTCAAAAGTGTTCATGCAGATCCAAACATGGCAGAGAAACACAGTATTAATATGGACGAAGTGTAAATTGCAAAATTCACACCCCTTGAACTACAGTAATACTGTTTATAAAAGTGCAATCACAAAGCAACTGACTGGAAGAAATATTTAGTAGGGCACTCTGCTAGCCAAATATATTTGGCCTGTTGATTGGTCTTTAAATGGCTTTGTTTTCCACGTCAAATGGACATTTTTAGTGGCTGAAATGCTTAACCTCACAGAGAGTAGTGAGCAAATTAGAAAGACTGAAAAAGAAAGAGATGAGTCAGGAAATTGTCGGTAACTGCAATTGATACAGATATTGTCGCCACCTTGAGCATTTATGTTCTCCTATATTCTTAAACCTGTCTTATGTGATATACAGACATTTTAAGGCCAATGTGAATTTGTTGTACTTCTTATTCCACAACTTTACTATTCCTTTAATGAGTTCCATTATGTTGTGAATGATACAAAGCAGAGCTAACTCACCCACACAGTGACAGGAAGGAAGATCTGCCAGTTTTTTGGAAGGTGTACTGAGCAGGTTCTTGATGGGGGTATCCAGGAAACTCATCGGAGACTCCAGAAAGCTGTTGACACCATTCCTGGTTGGAGTGGACTCTACAGGGTGAGCCCCGTCAGTCGCTGTGGACAGGACAGTGACGGACCCGGACGTCTCTAGCTTATAGTAGTTCTGTTGGCTTGGAGGAGGGGAGTCAGGAGGCCCTGAGAAGCCGTTGCTCAGAACACGGAACCCATTGACGTTGCTAGTAAAAGCTGGTTTTGCAGGGCTGGCGATAGGATGAGTGCCGTGCTGAAGCTCGCCAGCAGGCGGCGCTACCTGAGATAACACGTGGCTCTCTGCTGGTCCCGCAACGAAACCATTGCATTGATTGTGTGGGAGAGGCAGACCATTAGGAAGCGACCACTGGTGGTTTTCTCCAGCACCAGTGTGGTTCGTGGTGAACAGATTGTTGGGATTCTGAGACAAACTTGTATTGTGAATGTTACTTTGATGGATCAGTTGCCTCCTTCCTTCTTGAGCCTCAGCCAAGTATTTCTTCAAATCAATTTGAGCCAACGGCAAAAAGAAATTGTTCTTGGGTTGACGACTCGATTTCCCGTGTGGGAGACCATTCTGGCCTCGGCTCCTGTGAGGCGTCTCCCCACCCTGCCCGGTCCTACGACTCGCTCCCTCCTGTAATCCATCGCTTTTCCTCTTCCTGGGCTTGGACGGCGTAGTTTTGGTCTTTTTTAAGGGAGGCTTTTTCTGACAGGGGCTTTGCTGGGATTTGTAGTTGTACTTTATAGCTGAAACAGGTGTTCCCTTAGGGGGGCCGTTGTCGGACTGTTGATTGTGCCGCGCCTGGATGATGAAGGCCAGATCCGCCAGCTGAGCTGCCACTTCTTCCTCGTCCCTGTTCCTCCTCATTTTAATGACGCACCTTTCCCTGTCCTCTCCTAACCGCTCATGACCCCTGCTGGAGTCCTTATAGCTACACTGTGAATGGATGACATAAGGAGACTGACTCTGGTTTGTCCCCCTGCAGTTTGAGGGCATTTCTTCGACAGAAGGCTTTGTGTCAGAGCTCAGCCTTCTGGAGCACTGAATGACATTCCCCTGCCTGGCCACAGGAGGGCGTATCACTGAAGTCTGGTGTAGCGGTGAGCTGATGACCGAGACTTTGTTGTAGTGGATGGCTGATGCACGTTTAGCTGCTTGCTGTGCAGGATTTGTGTGGAAACCTGGGGAACTGGAGGAAATGGGGTGTTCACCATTACTTTCAGCTTTAATGGGACCTGAGGGGCTTTGTGGTATTACCGCCAATTGAGTCAAGGCCTCGATAGCAATAGCCTGATCAAAACTAAGGTTTCTCCTCTCCGCCAAGGACTGCACACTGGGTAACAGGACACTTTGAGGAGGTTCACTTTTGATGGGTTGGGGAGTCCTTTGCAAATTAGCAGGAGTGCTTTTCTTCAACTCATCTTTTTCTGTTTTGACAAAGTGCAAATCTGGCGGTTCTGTCTTAATGGAGCACAGAATGGAAGAACGTGTACCGAGAAGTTTCTCCTCTAGTCCCTTCCTCTCTGTGACGGACAGGCAGACAACTGCTGCCAACATCGACAGAGGATCTTCGCACATATCGTCGTCTTGCCTAGTCAGCTGCGTGGTAGTCTGCTCAGTGATCCACAGCCACGGCTCTTCCAGTTTGATCTTCTTTAGTGGAAGTGACACATCATCTGGAGACGCCTTTGGCCCGTTCTCTGAGTTGTCTTTTGGGATTGTGGCAATAATAGTCCTTTGAAGCTCCGATGCCATTGAAGTCCTTTTACATGCTGATTTCAGATCAGACTGAGACCCATTGGTCATATTAGCACCGTTAGGCTTTGTAAGACTCCCATCAGAACCATTCTGATGAGTCACAGAAGAGCATATGTGGCGATGAAGTGCAGAATTGGTCAAATCCATCTCTGACTCTCTTTTAATAAGTGCTGGCTTTCCACTGTGGTTGGCGAAGGGCTGGACAATGACGGGAGATTGAGTGTGAGGTATGTGGTCATCCTCCTCCTCGTCCTCCTCCGCTGCCATGTAGGTATCATCCATCTGTTCCTTGCCTTTGCCATTTATTGAGCCGATTTCAGGAGCCACCTGAGAAGCAGAGGAGAAACATGAAGAAGAAAGCTGACTCAACGATCTCTGGCAGAAATCAGTGATTTAGCATGAGTAAAAATACAGTGTGAATTTCAAAGCATCAAATCATATTCTTGTGCTAGATTGGCTCAGTCATATCCAGACTTACAAAGACGTGAAAACTGAAACAAAATCCACAAAATCTCTTGCTTGAGCTCGAACTATTTTGCAAACGAAAATAGGCCAAAACGTCAGTTTCTAGATGCAGATACATTTCAGGTTTTGAGATGAATGAACACTTTTGTGAAGCTGGATATTTAAAAGCATTTGTCCACAGCTGAGGTGAAGATTCAGGTATCCTGCAGAGTGCAGAGAGAGGTACTGACCCTGAGGTAGCCAAGAGCTACTAAGTAAACATTTTAAAAACACCCGCACCTCATGACATCGCTGCTATCTGAGGTTCGCTGAGTTCATGTGTGCAGCATGCATGCACAAGTTGTGTTTGACGCTTTACACAGAGGTGTTTCCTTGAGCATGCCATAAAAATGTGCAAATTTACGCAGCCATTCACACAGACTATGTCAGCCCATGTGCATACAGTCATGTGAGTGGTGCAGTGCAGCTTTTCACATCATTCAAGACTATTGACGACAAAAAGTGTAACAGTACTCCAAAGGTCCAAAGTACCAATGCACATTGATTGCCCACCAAAAGCCAAGGCAAACACACACTCAACGTAATCTGTGACTACATGCAAACAATCATTTCCCCATTTTATAGTGTCTGTGGAGGTTTTGTGTTGTTCTAGATGTTATCTTAGGACCAAGGCAGACATATTTTTATTCTAAAAATGTGGACTAAATATTGTTGAGAGTTTTGTACAAATATTTCTTGTTTCTCATCCTCTTGACTCAGGCCTGAAAATGTGACATGGCTTGAAACAGCACAGGCCTTTATATAAGATTCAGATCTGCATCCTTCAGCAAGGGAAGTATGACTAAACATGCAGCAGGAAACAAAACTTTTTGAAAAGCACCAATAATGTGCTAAAGCTAAGCTGCAGATAGAATTTATAACTGGAGGTTACAGTGTAATATCATAACCTGTGTCGTACACAGTTTTGTAAGCCCCATGTTCAAGCTAATGAACTAGCAGGACAGCAGGGGTGCGCGGGTTATGTTCTTCATCACTTTTTTACCTGGCATAAACTCTCATTAAACTCCACGGTCACTGATTTAGAACTGTTTGGAGAGGGAGATATGCACACCAGCCTTACAGCCTCTCAATACAAACCAGACGCCTTTGAACTAACAGAACAAATAGGAAACACATGTGCTGACCACATAATTATGTTTTTTATCAACATTTTTCCATCTGGGTCAAGTTGACTCTGATGCTCTATTACAACAGTGGGGCGCTTTTACTGTATTGCAGTGGATCCAAAAAGAAGTCAAAGAGATTTTTAGCTATATATCATGAACAGCGCTATCATCTGAACATAAAGCTGGCCTGCTGTAAGCAACTCAGAAATGTCCTGTTTGTGATGTACACAGTGTGTTTTGTTTTATGGAGGCATGTGGTGTACAAAGAATTGAGCCTTGTGATGTCCCACATGTGATCACTTCAGGGTCGCCATGCGTTCAGATGAATATTCACTGTAAAAGCTTACATTCACTCTCCATGGGCTTGAATGCAATATTATTGTTAGACGTTTAAAGATGAATTTGAATTGGTGGAGTTCACTCATTAAACCACATGCTGTCCTGCTTCAGGCATAGAGCCCAAACTTTCATTAGAATCGAGGTTAGGGCTTTGGAAGTCCGTTCCAGAAGTCGATCTGGTCTTTTTAAAACATCCTTGGATCTATGTTTCGGAGTATTTTTTTCTTCTAGGAACACCAGCGTCTGTGTAAGTTTTAACAACATGACCCAAACGTCCCCCTCGGATGTCAGGAAATTGGTTCGGATGCTGAGAAACCACTAAGGATCCAATCTGTCATAAACTGGAAACTGCTTGAACACCGTTGTTGCCGTCTACAGTGTTACGAAGGTTGCTGACCAAAAGATTTTTCACTCTGCTCCAAAACGGACACATTCAAGTGCAGATGAAGTTTCAGTGTCGTCTGTGTTTTACAACAAGTCGTATATAAACAGACCAAGAAATAAAATTGTGGCCATGTGTAGCCTTAATTGGT